GCTTCTTCCTGCTACCAGTGTGTTCTTCATTTTCTCCTAATCTATTTATAGAAAGATAAACTGTGGCTTTCAAACTGAAAAGTACCTTTTTTCCTCCCTCATTTGAGTCTCATTCACTTGATTCAAGAAGAACTGTTCCAAATAAACTATCGCTCAGCCAGCCTGTTAGTTTAATTAAGAGGACCTGCAGGCCCAAGATCAGAATCCATCCTTTTCCATATTAGTGAAACATTATGATTTAAAGTAATTTTTAGGAGATACAGTTAGAGCAGACAGGAAACTAGTTAGAACCAGGAAACCTTGTATTTGTATTTTCTGACACAAATAGACCCAGTTCTTAGAGTATATACATGGATGAGCTTTTTTTGATCATGAAAAGTAAATATGTCTTTATCCAGAGAGAGCATTTATAAAACAAAATGCCCCATTCTTGTTTAGAATAACTCAGAACATCTTGCCTCCTGAATTTTTTTTCAACCTAGGGTAAGTTTATTTTATTTTTTAATTTTCCTCCATTCCTAGGTGCAGATTATGTGTAAGTGAAGATTGGGTTGAGCAGAGCCAACCAGTGCATGTGCAAAGAAGAGATAGGCTTTCCACCTCTGTGTGAAATTTGATTATGCTTCCAAACCAAGTGTGTGAGAGCCCTGCTAACTACTCTAGAATATGTGAATAACAAGTTGGACTTTTGAAATACCTAAGGTTCTGGCTACTCTCGCATTTTGTTCGTCCTTAGGAAGTCTTTATAATCTCCAGAGCCAAATTTTTGCTTGGATTACTTTCTCGTATTTTTCCCCCAGACATCGGTTAGTTTTAAAACTGGCAGGAAGAAAAGGAAGGATGTGGGATAGATAGGGAATTAGATGGTGCATATTCACTGATAATTATGAAAAAATACCTCTCTAGCATTGTAAGTAGCCAGTACAAAGAGAGTTAGGCTCCTATAAAGTTTGACATAAAACAGGATTCTCACTTAATGAAAAAAGAGGATCTGTGTATTTCGTTCCAGTCTCTTAAAAACAGATTCCAAGATAAGCCCCCACTATGAGAGTGTTTTCTGCTTCTGACTCTGTGACATTGACTAACAGGACTTTTTTCTGGAAATTTCTTTCTAGAAATCTTAAAAAACTAGAA